GATGTTTGTCAGGAGCCTAGACATCTACAGGGAGTGCAGAATTATTAGGCAAGTTGTATTTTTGAGGAATAATTTTATTATTGAACAACAACCATGTTCTCAATGAACCCAAACAACTCATTAATATCAAAGCTGAATGTTTTTGGAAGTAGTTTTTAGTTTGTTTGTAGTTTTAGCTATTTTAGGGGGATATCTGTGTGTGCAGGTGACTATTACTGTGCATAATTATTAGGCAACTTATCAAAAAACAAATATATACCCATTTAAATTATTTTTACCAGTGAAACCAATATAACATCTCCACATTCCCAAATATACATTTCTGACATTCAAAAACAATTCAAAAACAAATCAGTGACCAATATAGCCACCTTTCTTTGCAAGGACACTCAAAAGCCTGTCATCCATGGATTCTGTCAGTGTTTTGATCTGTTCACAATCAACATTGCGTGCAGCAGCAACCACAGCCTCCCAGACACTGTTCAGAGAGGTGTACCGTTTTCCCTCCTTGTAAATCTCACATTTGATGATGGACCACAGGTTCTCAATGGGGTTCAGATCAGGTGAACAAGGAGGCCATGTCATTAGTTTTTCTTCTTTTATACCCTTTCTTGCCAGCCACGCTGTGGAGTACTTGGACGCGTGTGATGGAGCATTGTCCTGCATGAAAATCATGTTTTTCTTGAAGGATGCAGACTTCTTCCTGTACCACTGCTTGAAGAAGGTGTCTTCCAAAAACTGGCAGTAGGACTGGGAGTTGAGCTTGACTCCATCCTCAACCCGAAAAGCCCCCACAAGCTCATCTTTGATGATACCAGCCCAAACCAGTACTCCACCTCCACCTTGCTGGCGTCTGAGTGGGACTGGAGCTCTCTGCCCTTTACCAATCCAGCCACGGGCCCATCCATCTGGCCCATCAAGACTCACTCTCATTTCATCAGTCCATAAAACCTTAGAAACATCAGTCTTGAGATATTTCTTGGCCCAGTCTTGACGTTTCAGCTTGTGTGTCTTGTTCAGTGGTGGTCGTCTTTCAGCCTTTCTTACCTTGGCCATGTCTCGGAGTATTGCACACCTTGTGCTTTTGGGCACTCCAGTGATGTTGCAGCTCTGAAATATGGCGAAACTGGTGGCAAGTGGCATCTTGGCAGCTGCACGCTTGACTTTTCTCAGTTCATGGGCAGTTATTTTGCGCCTTGGTTTGTCCACACGCTTCTTGCGACCCTGTTGACTATTTTGAATGAAACGCTTGATTGTTCGATGATCACGCTTCAGAAGCTTTGCAATTTTAAGACTGCTGCATCCCTCTGCAAGATATCTCACTATTTTTGACCTTTCTGAGCCAGTCAAGTCCTTCTTTTGACCCATTTTGCCAAAGGAAAGGAAGTTGCCTAATAATTATGCACACCTGATATAGGGTGTTGTTGTCATTAGACCACACCCCTTCTCATTACAGAGATGCACATCACCTAATATGCTTAATTGGTAGTAGGCTTTCGAGCCTATACAGCTTAGGGGTGGGTGCAATTAATCAATATGGCGATGCATCTAGAAGCTTAACATGTTTTTTCGGCATCGATTAATGAACGTCGATGCTTAAAAAAACATAACATCAACGTTTTGTTGCAAAGCCGGTACTAAAAAAATTAAAACACATAACCGGAGCCTTAACGTGCACCGCTGTTTAGTGAGTGGCACTACCTCTTTTACCTCTTTCTCCATCCTGGAGACTGTCTCCAAACTACCGAAGAACTCAGAGAAGGCGAGGAGCATTACAAAAGCAATAGCTACTTTTATCGCGACGGATCTACGCCCGTATTCAGTAATAAACAACAGGGGGTTTCGGTTTGTGGTGCGCACCATGGAGCTGCGCTATAAACTTCCTCACCAAAAACATTTAGCAGAAAAAGAAGTCCCCCACCTCTACGAGGAAACCAAAGCAAGCGTTCTGGAGTCCATGAAGAAGGCAACCGGGATAGCGCTCACATGCGATGCATGGACATCGGTTGCCACCAAATCCTTCGTTACTGTAACGGCGCATTTAGTTCTTGCGTCGGACAAGAACGGGTGGAAGTTGGTGAGTCACGTTCGTCAAACTCGAGAGATGAGTGAGAGTCAAAGTAGCACAATGTTGACATTTGCCCATCTCACACAACATGAGGATGTAGGGGGACAAGAGTGAGGGGAGGGGGTATGGGAGGACAGATGAGTATGAGTGTCACTCTGCTCTAGTTTGTTGTGTTCACCTCACTGTACTGAAGCTCCAGGCTGAATGTATGTTCAGTTGAATTATGCACTTTTGTTCTGAAAAAATACAACATATTACCTTCAAATAAAGCAGGTTTTTTCTGTTACCTATATTCCAGACTGAAAAAGCTGAATTATTTTATTTCGAGGAATGCACTTTTGATCTGTATGGCAGCTTTTTTGTATTGTTATCATATGCCAGACTCATTAAGTTTCCATTAAATAAATTTGATGGAAGTAAAAATCTTGTTTACTTGAATGAATTATCTCATTAAATCCAGGGCTTGCCTGTTTTCAGTGTTTCCCAACAATGAAGGGGACACTAATGTAAGTAAAGCTTTCCCTGATCGAAGTTAAGTTGGTCAAAGTGCAAATATTTACATGTCACACAGTCATAAAATAAGAATTTGTCTTTGAAAAATAGTTAAATGTTAAAAAAAATGTATTTACTAACAGAGAGTAGTTTTATAGGAACTGAATTAATTGTTAGGTTATTTATTTACAAATGTAGATAAAGAAGAAGACAATATTGTATGAAAAAAGCATACATGGGGGCATACATGTAGAAACCTAAATATGTAAATAAAAATAATGAGGATGGAATCCATGACCTGGCACACGATTTCCACACAGTATTCGGGAGATTTTGAATTCTTGGAGTTTTTTGTCTCGGCAGACCCCCCTGTGTGGGGTGGGGGGGTTGACACCGAAGGGAGCAGACAGGCAGTGGGCTTTCTGTGTTTATATAAAGTCTGGACTGATGGGCTGAAGCAGAACGTGACGGAACAACGAGAGAACACGCGAGTTGGTGTGGAGGAGAGGCATGTGGGATGAATCAAATCTGAGGATAATGGTGTGTGTGTGCGTGCGTGCGTGCGTGCGTGCGTGCGTGCGTGTGTGTGTGTGTGTGTGTGTGTGTGTGTGTGCTGACTTCCACTGGAATCTGCAGAGGAGACGAATGAGGCCACCAGTCGACAGAACAGCTGGTTGCAATCATAGCAGCCACACACACACACACACACACACACACACACACACACACACACACACACACACACACACACACACACACACACACACACACACACACACACACACACACACACACACACACACACCACACACACACACACACACACACATGCAGTCCGCTAGTCCTTGTAATGCTAACGCTAAAGAAACCTAGCCCTGGGACTCGATGATTCATCAGTAATAAATAAAAATGCTTATATTCATTTAAAAGAAACAATGAGAAAAATGCATCCTCGGCTCCGATCAGAGCTCATACCTTAGTCCAGGGGTCCTCAGTTATAATGGCCCGAGGGTCACTCACAAAAAAGGTCCAAAAAAAGGAGTGGGGGGGGGGGGGGGCTGCTGCTGCTGCTGCTGCTGTTTGGATCGCTGGCTGTAATGCACATAACACACAAGCTTGCAATATAAAACAGGACAACACCTCGGCTCGGCTGTGTGACTGCACTAACCTGTCCTGTGGGACCCTCATCAAGTAACCCTCATGTCCATGCTGTGCAGATATGAAACAAGATCTCCTGTAACTTAAAATGAACCAAAGCTTCTTCCCAGTTTCTCTTTAAGCTGAATTTAACATCAGTTTATCATCAAGAAACAAAAGAATTAAGTGGAACAAGAACTTCTATCTTCTATTTCTCTCTCCTTCTAACTTCTCTGTGTCCCTAAATAAAAGAGACAGATGATTACGCTGCAGCCGCCGTCACTGACCCCGCCCCCTCCCCAAGACCGGATCTCCCGACATCACAGCACTCGGTCTGACTGAGCGCTTCCAGGACAAATAATAAAATTATGAAAATAATAACACGTTTGGAGGAGCCGCTCTCTCTCTCTCTCTCTCTCTCTCTCTCTCTCTCTCTCTCTCTCTCTCTCTCTCTCTCTCTCTCTCTCTCCTCTCTTTCTGTCGCTCTCTCTCTCTCTGTTAACTAACTCATACCTGCTGGTTTAATGTTAACTAACTCATACCTGCTGGTTTAATCTAACTAGTACCTTCTGGTTTAATCTAGCCCATACCTGCTGGTTTAATGTTAACTAACTCATACCTGCTGGTTTAATCTAACCCGTACCTGCTGGTTTAATGTTAACTAACTCATACCTGCTGGTTTAATCGAACTAGTACCTTCTGGTTTAACCTAGCCCATACCTGCTGGTTTAATGTTAACTAACTCATACCTGCTGGTTTAATCGAACCCGTACCTGCTGGTTTAATGTTAACTAACTCATACCTGCTGGTTTAATGTAACTAACTCGTACCTACTAGTTTCATCTAACTGCTGGTTTTTAACTCGTACTTGCTGGTTTAACTAGTACCTGCTAGTTTTACCTAACGCGTACCTGCTGGTTTAACTAGTACCTGCTGGTTTTACCTAATGCATACCTGCTGGTTTAACTAGTACTTGGTGGTTTAATCTAACTAGTACATGCTGGTTTAACTAGTACTTGATGGTTTAATCTTAACTCGTATCTGTTGGTGTAACTAGTACCTGGTGGTTTGATCAACCTAGTACCACTGGCTTGATCTACCTAGTACCTGGTGGTTTAATCTAACCCATACATGCTGGTTTAATGTTAACTAACTCATACCTGCTGGTTTAATGTTAACTAACCCGTACCTACTAGTTTAATTTAACTGCTGGTTTTACCGAACTCATACCTGCTGGTTTAACTAGTACCTGGCGGTTTAATCTAACTAGTACATGCTAGTTTAACTAGTACTTGATGGTTTAATCCAACTCGTACGAGTTGGTTTAACAAGTACCTGGTGGTTTAATCTAACTACTACCTGCTGGTTTAACTAGTACTTGATGGTTTACTCTAACTAGTACCTGTTGGTTTAACTAGTGCTTGATGGTTTATTCTAACTCATACCTGGTGGTTTAACTAGTACCTGGTGGTTTAATCCAACTCGTACCTGGTGGTTTAATCTAACTAGTACATGCTGGTTTAACTAGTACTTGATGGTTTAAACTAACTCGTACCTGCTGGTTTAATGTAACCAACTAGTGACTACTGCATCAACCTTTCACATCCAGACTATTAATAGGACCATGGAGTTGTTTGCTCAGAGATGCTGCTGAGTTGCTGCATTTTCCAGGCATTAGTCACCACCGCAGCGTCGCTGCTGCAGCCAAGATCCACTCTGGCTCCACGAGCTTCTCGGTCAGCACTTTGTTTTTTTTTTTTTTTTTTTTTTGTTCTGAACTCTGAAACCTGATGCTGGAGGAGAAGCTGCAGTTTGGATCCGTGAGAAGCAAAAGGCCAGAGAGGTTCTGCTGCCTGGAAACAATCAGAGATTTGGCTGCTTTCTGTAAGATGAAACTCCTGATGGTTGCCTAGGTTGTGATGGATTTCAAAGGGGATGTTTTATGCAAAAATCCCGTTTGCGCCGCCATGTGGGTCTCTACTGCCTCTTTAAATACTCAGAAAGCAGTTTGTTTTCTGTCTGTGGTTGATCTTCGGAATTTTCTGCCTAAAACGGCTCCTGAAGCGGATCATTCTGGAAGGGACTAAAAATGTCAAGACTAAAACTGCTGAGATGGCTTGATCTGAGACGACAGACCTGATTTAATGATAAACAGCCTTCACTTGTGTAGTGCCTTTCAGAGTCAGAGTATCATTCACCCATTCACACACACATTCACACCCTGGTGGTGATGAGCTATGATGTAGCCACAGCTGCCCTGGGGCAAGCTAACAGAGGTGAGGCTGCTGAGCACAGGTGCCACCGGTCCCTCTGACCCCCACCAGCAGCAAGGTGGGTTAAGTGTCTTGCCCAAGGACACAACAGCAGCATTCTCTGGTTGGAGCTGGGATCGAACCTGCAACCTTCCAGTTACTGGACAACCCGCTGTACCTTCTGAGCTACAGCTGATGTATATTTATGCTGCTCCACAGACGTACATTGGCTCCATCCTGGCGGCAGTGAACCCCTACCAGTCCCTGCCCGGCCTCTACGACCGACCCACAGTAGAGCTCTACAGCCGCCACCACCTCGGGGAGATCGCCCCCCACATCTTTGCCATCGCTAACGAATGCTACCGCTCACTGTGGAAGAGGCTGCAGAACCAGTGCGTCCTGATCAGGTACGACTCTAATCATCTATAAGGTTTTTAATGACCGGGTCACTAGAAACGCGTATTGTGTTGAGCAGCTTCCTGCTCGTTCGCTCATGTCTGGTTTCTGTAACACATCTCCTGGTGCTGTGTGGCTTCACCCCTCTGCCTCTCCATCTTCTGTCCACCGCGCTCCTTCCTCACATCCTTCCTCTTCAGCTGAACAACTTTCACATCCGCTCCAGCTCCATTGTTTTCTCTGACATCAAAAAGGTTATTTTTAAAAGTACTTAAGGACCCAAAGCTGAGCTAAAGAGACGGGTTAGCTGTGCAGGATGTTTATGGTCGTCGAGGTATCCTGAGTTCAGAGGACTTTAGAGATTTATTGTAACTAAGACAATCATGTTTGTCCCAGTGACTTTTTTTCCAGAATCGAATATGTGTTCCGGTCCAATCCATGTAAAAGTTTTCCGATAAAACTCCTTGATGGACGTAGTCATCATTTACCGACCTCAGCTTGTTAGCTATTTAGAATAGAATAGAATAGAATAGAATAGAATAGAATAGAATAGAATAGAATAGAATGCCTTTATTGTCACTATACAGGCGTAAAGTACCTGGTGGTTTAATCTAACTAGTACATGCTAGTTAAACAATAAAAAACAGTTCTGGGAGCTTTGTGCGCTGTTAGCTTTGAGATGTAGCTTTTTGATCATCTGTACAAAGATGTGTTAGATGATCTACAGCAGTAATCTCCATGGTCCTAGGTTTTATTCAGGACGGCTCTGACTTGGGGCTGGAGACGGTGTTCTTGTGTGGACGTGACCTCTCACCCAGATGTAAACACAGTAGATTATTATATATAATTGTAAGGGGTTAATTTACATCTAATTAATGGATCATAAGACATGAGATTCCATTATGAATATGAAATCAATCTTGTGGACCTTTGGGTTATTTTAACCAGAAGATTGGAACTTTTTATTGCAGGGATTATGTAACACTTCGTATTAACTGAGAGACAAGAGAAGAGAGAGTCACCTTTAAAACGTTTAAGAAGATTTATTTCTAAACAATTTTAAACAAGACTAACTCTAAATTCTAAGTGAATGAATGGATCTTGGTGTGAATGAGACGTGAGATGAATGGTGTATGTGTGAGTGATGTTGTCATCAGAACTCTCATATCCGGGGAAGCAAGTCTGAATGATGTTGTGATGTTTTACTTTTAGCCATGATCGGAGTTTCATAAACACATGAGACGCCATATTGTCGCTCCACACATACCCTTAGGAGGAGACCTCCGTACAGATCCAGAATGTCAGGTCCTCGAACCCCCCTTTCGGTACCGGAGCCGATGAAACAGCGTCAGCAGTACGACAGACTAGTCTTTGGATTGTCTCCAGGTAAAAAGCGACAGTTGGTTGACAGCATCAGATGGACCCCCTTTGGGTCAGTGAGTTCAGCTTTTATTCTGAAAGGAACCGTTGCTTGGTTGGTAAAATGCAACATATTTTATCCAGCTTGTTGGTTCTTTGCTTAAAAAGGAAGTCCAGGTGGCCGGTCTGATACTCCTCTTAGCATGCGGTGAACTGCAGTGAACTGTAGAGAACTCAGAGAACTGGCCTAAGATGGCGTGGGGACTGGTTTTATTAATCTGGATGTTTTGATTTCTGGTCGAATCAAAGTTGGCAGATTTATAAACACCACAGAGACTATGCCACGCTTCAGAAAGGATGGTTCTGATTGGATGAGTAAAAGCAATAATAATAATAATAATGCATTGAACTTATATAGCGCTTTTCTATATACCCAAAGACGCTTTCACACACTCTCACATTCACACACTGCTAGTGATGGTAAGCTACTTGTAGCCACAGCCGCCCTGGGGAGGTCTGACAGAGGCGAGGCTGCCATTTGGTGCCATCGGCCCCTCTGACCACCACTAACACAGGCAAGTTGGGTGAAGTGTCTTGCCCAAGGACACAACAGCAGGATACCCCTGGCGGGAGCTGGAATCGAGCCCATGACCCTCCGATCATGAGGCAACCCGCTCTACCACCTGATCTACACATGCCCCAAATGTGTCGTGCGTTTACATTATGTGTAGTCAGCATGTCTAGTGCAGCTAGATTAAAGTCATATTACTTATTAAAGTTTACTAATCATAACATTGTCATTTCACAGATTGGTTAACATCATATTATTGACTAACACTTTGTTTGATTAGCTTTATTAAAAATAGAGTTCTTTGATTTATTAAAAGGAAAGTGTCCTTTATCTTCATTCTTCTCTTGAGCTGGAAAGGAAGCAGTTTAAAAGCAAATGCATGAGACCTTGAGGCAGTCTCATTCAGATTAGTTCTGTGTCAGAGGCATCTGTGGAGAGAGGGTAAATAACCTTCGGTGGAATGGCACCTCCGTCACGTTACATATTAAATGTTTAACGTCTAGATGTACTCTGATCTTCTACCAAAACATCAGCTGTGTTCAACCCTAACAAACTCGTTTTTATTTTCGTTGTTGCTTTTATTTTCTCGTAGTTTAACAACGAAACTGCCGGTTGTTCGGAACGCGGAAGCGTCGCGTTACGCTGAGGTTTTCTGACTTTAAAGCCTAAATATCAGAGTTTCAGTGTTTGAATCTGAAAGCAGTAAAAACTTTGCTATGATGTAATAGTCAGGTATTTATTTATTTCTCTAACTGACATGAATAGAAACCCAGCTTCACATGTGTTTACCGAGCTGTCCATGCTCACCTGTCTGCAACACACCTGGATGCTCACTTCCAGTCCAGCTGTGTGGTCCCAGTCGCGCGTCAGACCTGCAGCATAGTTCACCAGTAAAGTCGTGATTATCAGAAACGTTGGTGCAGAAAAGCCTCCAGGAGTAATTGTAGCCCTTCATTATGGGGGGGGGGGGGGGTGGCTGCCATGACAACCGCCCTTCTAGGTTCTTTTGCTGCCTAAAACAGTTTAAAGGTAGAATTAGAGCGTCTGCTGGTAATTAGCTGCTATTGGTTTACGACCCCCTTTGGCCTCCTTCCATTGGCTGTGAGGATAACGAGCCACCCAGTGAACCCAGTGAAGCCTCTGAGCAGGTTTTACTGGCAGGCACCACGTTAACGAAGGCTTTGGTGTGATTTGTGACAAATTGACGTTTTAAAAGCTGTTTTTATGTTTGATGTAATCTCAGCTGTGGCTAACAGGAGGATGATGCGTTTAAACGAAGGAGTTGGTTTTAGATCGTTGGGTTTGGTTTCCAGGGCATTTTAGGATCAGTGAGAAATCAGCAGGAAATGCAGAAACGTCTGGAGGCAGCACCAAGCTGGCTTTATGGATGAAGGCTGAGGCAGAACTCACTGTAGATGATTCTACGTGATCTATGGAAGTTACAACCCAAGCTATGAAGTCTGCTGTTACCTGATGCTTACGTTGGAGACGCAGCAGTCGAGATGCTTTTGGTTATACCAGGCTGAGGATTTTATCTTTAACCAAGAGGAAAAGTGAAACCAACTCGGAGACTAAACTGGATTTCATTGGTCGTTGGACTCCCTTATCCCGCCTCCAGCTCCTGATAGAAGGACATTATTGGATGAAAGCAGCACACTTGTTGCTGTAAAAGGACCCAGCTGTTGTAAAACACAGAAAGTATGTCAACACTAGAGATCAGGAGCTGAGTGTCCGAGTTAAACCAGATCCACCACAGCCTGGTGGAAAAGCCCGAGATGATCTCCACCCGGAGTGATTCAGAGGCTGTGGTTTATAATCACAGGTTAAAGTGTGCAGCTAAACCGCCTAGCTGCTGCTGTTCCAGCTAGAACCAGTGTAATGTAATAAAGCTGTCGTCTCCGGCCTCCGTTTCTTCTGTGGAGGAAAACAAAAAGTCTTTTGTGTTGCAGGATGTTGGTCGGTGGGAAGAATAAGTGCAGCGGAGCGCAGAGCTAAAGGCGTAAACACAAACACGGAGAGAGCTGCACAAAGCTGCTTTCAGTCCCAGGAACAAGTCCGTCTGCTTTGTGTCCCTTCATGTCTCCGAGTCTCATCCGTCTGCCGTTGCTTTACCGGAGAATAATCCGGCATTTCCGGCTTGAACTCAAAGTTTTTCAGCTGATTTTTAGAGTCGATGGCTCATGAAGCTGCAGGTCGTGGCCTCTGACCCATAGCGTCGGCTCAGCGAGGACACAACTGGATCAGAATACAGAACAGCCCCAAACTCAGATTATTTACCCATTTAGAGCATCTGAGATTAATGAATTATTTATGTTTATTTATTAGGCAGACGCTTTTATCCGAAGCCACGCACAATAGGTAACCTAAAGGGCATGTTGTGATCTGTGGGGGAAACCAGAGAACCCGGAGGAAACCCACACATGCATGGGGAGAACATGTAACTCCACTCAGAGTTTTGAACCTGCAACCTTCTTGCTGCGAGGCAAAGATGCTAACAACTTCTCCATCATGCAGCCATTTAAATCCCCTCAAAGGAGAAAGGAAGTGTGATTAATCAGTTTTCCACACAAAACAATCTAAAGAAAAGCAAGTTTAGATGTTAAAGACAGGATGGTTCAGATTCTTTTGTTTCGGGATGATCCTGGAATAATCCGTGTGTAGAGGAGGACCAGGGCTTCAGACCCCAAAGCAGCATGAGGTTAAACTCTTGTGAATGTTTAACTAGTCGCTAACTGTTACCCCCAAGCAGAAAGCCTTAAAACTGAAGCAGAAACGGCTGCTTCTGATTGGTTGGTTTAATCGCACGCCGTGTAAATCAAGCTTCTTCAGAGAAAATCAGAATAAAACAGTTAAAGCACGTCACATCAACACTTCACCTTCAACCTGAAGCAGCAGAGACGCTGAAGGCCAGAAACGTCTGATAATTTATCAGTTATTATTAAAACGTCTGATAATTTATCAGTTATTATTAAAACATCTGATAATTTATCAGTTATTATTAAAACGTCTGATAATTTATCAGTTATTATTAAAACATCTGATAATTTATCAGTTATTATTAAAACGTCTGATAATTTATCA